AACATGCTTTATATGTCCTTGCAGAACAGCTAATTTAATGTTACGGCTACCCTGTGAGATTTGCTCCTGAGACTGTTCAAGATAGACCCTTACCACCTATGTTGTGCTTTGAGAGCAAGGTTCAAGGTGGGGAAGCTGAGTCAGGAGATCCATCCAGCAGTAGTTGAAGACACAATGATAGTTCAGTGTATAGTGTGCAGTTCTTGAGATGGTGATATCTTGGTAGCAATTTGCTTCACCTTTTGTTTTAATGATATAAAACGTCATTTTTTAAGAACCCTTTGGAGTTGCATCTTCTCTGCTGTACTTTTCAACTTCTTATATTTTTATTTTCCTATTCATTTGTATACTAAAGAAAAAGAGAATTTGATTTCAGATAAGGTATAAACGCCAGAATTAAAGAAACAAATTATCTAAATATATTTAATTTTTATTTTGAAAGAGTAAAGGAGTTGAAACAGTATAAGGAGAAATTTTTTTAAGATATTTATGAATATTTATAGTATTCTTAGTATGTATACAGCTAGGACAATTTGTATTTTAGCTTAGCTCCTCATAAATCTGGAGTTGTGATAAGACAGTTTCGGGTACCCAGAGTATATTTATCCAAGTCATGGCTAGCAGGGACTTAAATGCCACCGTCATTTTACTACTGAAATTATTCTTTACTTACCACCTTTTTTCCCTCGAAATTTACTTCGGTAATAATCAGGGGTAAAGAGATATTAATTATACAGGATTATCTTGTGAAGTTCATATTTTTTTCATTTCTCTTTGTGATTGAATTAGAAAAAGTAGTGAAATTTGTGCATTTATGTGCTTCAGCATTATTGTGTGTCATCATCTCTGGTCATAACTGAGATTAAATTAATCCTGTTAACTTTGATTTACAGGAGCATTTTCCTTCATTGTACATATAATGTGCTCTGATTTAATAAAATACTACAGGAGGATTTCAGCCTTCTGAGATTTGACTGGTATCTGTATTAACTTTTGCTGCAGCAATTTTAACGGGATAGTAGATAACAATAATTAAAGTTGTGCTAGAAACAATTTTCTCAGTACATGACTTTTTTTAATATAGAAACTTCGAATTTTGTTCTTTTTATACCACATGGTGGCACTATCCACCTTTCCCACTGATTTATTTTTCAAAGTTTGAAGTTTACTGTGCTTTTCTTTTGATGCTGATGAGAAAGCACTAGAATGTTGTCTGTGTTGAACTGAGCTGGGTCTTTGAATGCTTATACCCTGTTTCCATAATCATGAGAAACAATTAGTGAGAATGAATACCTTATTTTAAAAAAAAAAAATGGGGAAGAGATCCAGATGTTGAGATGTCACAAGAAAAAAAGGCTTACAGTTGTTAATAAAAATTATTCCTTAGGATTCTCAGGTTTCAGATAAGATCACTTACTACAGTTCTTCCATATGTACAAAAAAACCCCAAACCAAAGTCCTCACCCTGTCTGTTGTGCATAGAGATGACGTGTTTTGGATATTTAATGAAATGTGACCTGATATGGGGTATTTTATGTATGTAGAGACTTACAAGTCTCTGTATTTTGCTTCTGGCAAGTTCAAATTTGACTTAGTGACTTGATGAGTGTCACAGTAACAAGGTACCTAAGGCTGTTTCAGATAGTAAGGTGAGAAAAGCATCATCAATGTGTGAGGGTACTTTAGAATCTCTAATGTACTTAATAGAATAAAGCTAACATACCTATGCATCTCTTGCAGTTTACAAAGAAGTGGTTTCAAGGTGTACTGTTAGGGTAACTTATTTGAGCTTCTTCAATAAGGTCGAGCTTTATTGCAAGGGAGTTTACTGGTAGGAAATAAAGCACAGTTTCATTCAGAGTCTTATTTAAGCTCTTAAACTCCTGTTTCACTGTGTGGTATTCCACTCATTCTTTATTTCGAGCTACATGAAATATAGTTGCTGCTGTTGTTAAATAACTTACTCTCTTCAAATCCTTCCTCTGGTTTCCCGTCCAATACTCCTTAAATTTTAAGTTTTCTCCAACAGTTGCAATATTTCTATTCTCTACGTAGTTTATCAACAAGTGTCTATTCTGAGTTTAAAACTTCTTTAGGAAAATATAGTCATCTCTGAAGTTAAGACAATTTTTTTAATTTTTTTTTCCTCTGTGAGAATAAACCACTTCCTACAATAAGCATTCCTTTTTTTCTACTATTGCAGATAATTTAGGCTCTTCCTAATGAGTTTCAACATGGTTTTTTTCTTCTTTGTGGAACATGGAAAGGAACTAAAATATATGCTTAGCCCAAATCTTTCTATTAACTACTAATGGCTTGGGGGAGGAGGACTTTGCTGGCTTTTCTGGTTGTTCGTGGCTGACAGACTAGATTTGACTAAGTTTTATATGTGTAGATAGTCACACAGAAATAAAGTCATGAGAAATATGAGATAATTAGATATAGACTCATAGGAAAGTCTATCTAGCCAACAAAGAATTGAAAAAGTTCAAAGGAAAATCCAAACTTATCTAATATGTTAAGCCAAGTCTAGGAAAAGTTAAATGTGAAAGGAGTTCATCAAATAAGAAAACCATTGCCTAACATCAACTATGTTATTTTGTGACAGGATGGCTGTAGTCCTTTAATTTGATCAAAGAAATGAGCTCTGATTTTACTGTGCTTGTTTTGGAGTATGAATGTAAGACACATTTTGTTTTTTCTGCTCATGAGCCTTTTTATGCTGTTTTGTGAGAAGGCAAAGCAGCACAGTTCTATTCTCTGAATGCTGTTATGATAAGCTGATATGGCTGAGTATCAGTTATATCAAATCAGGTCTTTAAACCCACTGAATATTCTTTTGCTACATGCTGCCATATTTTTTGTTTGTTTGTTTGGGGCAGGGGGAACCCACCAAACAAAACTCATCGTTGGCACAGCAGACCTATTCTGGCACAAAATTGAGTGCAGTGACCTGGTATTGTGGCCTGTCACGCAGCTGAGTTTATAAGCATCTGACTGTATCAGCCAGGAAGCTTGGTTCTATGAAAATTGAGCTGTCATTGTAGCAACTAATTTTCTAAGACTTGACATCCACATATTCTTTGTCTCTAGACAATTCATTAATTAATTTGTATTAGAAAAACTTTGATTTCTGACTTCAGGACATCTTTCAAATGTTTGTCACCTGTATTTGTACTCTAGGTATATGAAAATATGTTTTATTTGTTCAGAAGGGGCAGAAGGTCCTATGTGTGTATCAGCATCTGTTAGTACTCATTTAATTCTTAGTATGCTGAGGAGTAAGACCACTAAACCCTTACAACTTTGTAACAAAGTTCTGATGATTGTCTGTTGCTGCTCTGAGTTAGCACTTAATCAAACTCTGCTGAATCTTTAACACATACCCACTAGGGTGGGGAGCTGCTTCTGACAACTGGTAGCAGAGAATAGTGTGTGAAGACTGATTTCTAGCACTGGAACATAATCTGATAAACACAGCTAGTGTCAAAAGATTTTTGTCACCACTTTCTGTTTTTGAAGTGATCAGCAGAAGTGGTTCTGCAGTACTACCACGAAATTAACGGTTCTCTGTACACAATTATTGTATCTGTGATTTAGACGAGCGTGGTTCCTCTGATTCTAGTTGCAGCAGCAACAGACTCGGGGGAGGTGGTGCAACTGGTAAAAGCAATGTTCTTGTATTGCAGTACTGACTGATCTGTTACCAAATGTATAGTACAGACTCCTTTCAGTCCTCCTTTTACAGTGCTCAGTAATTCAAGTAGAAATGATGTTGGCACCACCACCTTTGGAGGTACAGATAGAAAAGAAAATCCAGCTATAGCATTGTATTACCAGGAGCTTCCCAGAAACAAAACCGCTTCTGATGTGTGTGTTCCCATGCTGAACACCAGTGTACTATTTTCAGAGCTGTTTGCTTCCAAAGTGCTTAGAACCTTCCCTCAAACAGATGTAATTTACTACTCGTGTGTTTCTATCAAGGCTGGGAGAGAGTCTGAGAAGGAAATTCTACTTTTCTTTGTAGCTCTAGAAGATTAAGTATTGCTTGCTGCTTCTGGCTACTGGGTTTCTTGGCAATGTTTTCCTGGAATTTGGTCTTGATACAGTTTTATCAGGGCTTCCTTTCTTTAGTTATTTTTTCTGTAAAGTTGCCTTCAGGACTTGCAATCAAATTTATAGTATGACAGTTATCTACAAGCTATGGTTGGCCTAAAGACAAAGCTGGATGTATGTAGGACAAAGGTCTCTTCTAAGACCTTGTCTCTGAATCGGGATTAGTAGCTGTCAGGTTTTGCTGGATGTACCTAACAATTTTCTCTGTCATAATGTTTCCCAGCTGGAGGAAAAACATTTCTATAGTCTTCAAAGAATGAACTAAGCTATTGCATTCAAAGGATCAGTTGGTACTAGGTGTATCTGAATGTTGTAAAGTTGAGGCTACTGTTGCTACTCCAGAAGGACTCTGTTCCCTAAGATTTCTTCTGAAGTTTGCACATCTGTAATTAAAGACTGCACTCTGGAACCTTCCCCAGCCCCCTGACACCAATTCTTTCAAGCAGTGCTTTGATTATTTGATCCTCATGTCTCTCTCTAGAAAGGACAAATGAGGCCTCAGTCTTAGGTGAGGTATGTGCCTTCTTTCCTTCATTATTGTTAGTATTTATCTTGTTCAGGAAAAAAGCTGCATATTCTACTGATAACTATTAGCTTGGGGCAGCAGTTTAATGTTTCCAAGACTCAAGAAAACTTTTGTATCTATAAAAGTTCCCTTTTCTGTCCAATGTCTTTCTGCCTCTTTTGATACCTAGCTATGGCTCGTATAGACTGCTAGTTGTTGTTCAGAAGTACCAAATGTCTTAATTCTAGTCTCCAATGCAAAGATGTCAAGGATCCTTTTCACCCAAGAATATTTCACTGTAGCTTCTAGTCAGCTCAGATCCAGAGAGAAAGAGCTTTTTATTCCCCTCACTTTCTTTTGCAATAAAGGCACTTACACCAAAGCTTTTCTTTCTTATCTTTCTTCCAGAGCTTCCTTATTTTGGAAGTAGCTCAACATTTTTGTTTATGATTTTTAGTGGCAGATAGTGCTCATCTACAGTCCTTGACAGATTACTGATTTCATATCAACATACTGAAATAGATGTCTTATTTGTCCAGTTCTGTATAACTTCTTCCTGACATTTAGGCAGTTGTATTAAAATAAATGATGTATTGGCTAATAATTTTGGAAGGCATACTGTGTAAACAGGTTGAAGCCAAATGTCATCTTTACTAAGTAGCAGCAACTCATCCAAATAGCTTGAGGGAATTGGTTTTCACATCACAATAGTATAGTAGTTTTACATTTGCCTAGGGCCTTCAGGTGCCTTAGGATATGAACAGGGAGTGCTAGCTTGTGTAAGTGATCCTTCAAAAATGAAGCTTTTTAAAAGCAGGATGACTTTCTTCCACAGGCTTATCTGTAGACAGTGTGAAGAACTTGTGCTACTTCTGCTTGATTAGCTGATTAATCCTTTCCCTGCATTTCTGTTGTTTATCTTCTTATTCCTGAAGGCTTTTTGAAAAATCAGCTAATCCCTACAGTGTATTAAGTGTCACTAACTTTGTTCAAAAAGTACATCACTCAGTTGTTGTACCTGAAATTTAGATAGGTGTTCATTTCAGTGACTGCTATAAGCTGCTGTTCATTCCAGATGGAGGATAACAGTGAGGCTTCTTATCATAAAACTGAGGTCTGTTCTTAGATCTTGGTTTTTAATGGTGCAGATCAGGCAAGTTCAGAATCTTCTTGCTTGAAATATCTGTTGACAGTGTTTGTAAACCAAATGGAAGTGCTTCTTGGTAGGGACTGCTTCATATGCTCTGTAGAAACCACCTGTACTGGTTAATACTGGGTGTCTTGGACAGCTCTGTTAACAATTTCTTTAGGCAATATTTGCCTACCCAGCTTGCACAGGACAGGTTTGCTTGTTTTAACCACTTCATTTGTCTAAGTTGCTACTCTCTGCAGTAGCAAAAATTAGTAAGAAGCTGAAGAAAAGCCATACGTTGTTGACAGGATTATCACAATCAGATTCCACGGGAGGAAGTACTGTTTGTCCTTTAATTTTTTGAAGGTTGTGGGTTTACTTATGTTATGTTTATTTATTGGCGTTATTTCCAGGACCTGATTCATGTCCTTGAAAGTGCTCTGTATCTCGATCCTTTTAAAAGCCCCCTTTTTGCTT